TTAGGAAGACTACATTAGGCTTGAAAGAACCCTGGTGCCACAGTGCTTATGCACTTGGCTGGTAACTGAAAGTTCAGCAGTTCAAACCTACCACCTGCTTCATGGGAGAAAGATGTGACAGTCTTCTGTTAAGTCTGCATCCCTGGAAACCCTATGGGACAGTTCTACTATGTCCTATAGTGTCATTATGAGGAGTAATGGGCTCAATGGCAACAACAACCCAACCTAAACTAAACCAAACCCACTGCCATAGAGTTGCTTCCAACTCATAGTGAGCCTATAGGACAGAGGATAACTGCCCCATAGAGTGTCCAAGGCTGTAGGTCTTTACAAAAGCAGACTGACTCATCTTTCTCCCACAGAGTGACTGGTGGGTTTAAACCACTGACCTTTTGGTTAGCAGGTGAGTGCCTAACCACTGAAACACCAGAGCTCCTTTACAACAACAACACTAGAGTTAATTTAGATTCTTCAGGTAAATATTGTTTCTTGCTGATAGCCGGGAGCTGCATTTTCATTATTTTTTCTGTACTTGGAGATAACTTGAAAAGAATTTGAGTTAATCAATTACATTTTATTTTCTTTATAGTTGATAAAAGTGTGAGTGGGGAAGGAGTCTAAATAAATTGCCTAAATGCATGGCTGTTGTGCCATTAAACAACCCTCTTTTGCCTGAAGGAGGTAAGTTGCAACCCAAATACTTAATTGACTACCTTGGGATGTTGGAGCATACAAAATGAGGCTCAGCTTTTCCAATTCAAGAAGCTCTGGTGAAGCAGTGGTTAAGGCATTTGGCTGCTAATTAACAGGTGGGAAGTTCGAACCCACCAGCTGCTCTGCAGAGAAATATGACAGTCTGCTTCTGTAAAGATTTACAGCCTCAAGAAACCCTATGGGGGCACTTCTACTCTGATCTATAGAGTCGCTATGAGTTACAATTAACTCAATGGCAATGGGTTTGGTTTAGGTATACCGATTTCTAAAATCCATCCACACAACTGTTTATGGAAGGAATGCTTGCTAAGTGTTCAGGGAAATACATAGCAGTAAGAAATATAGTTCCTGATGCTTGGTTGCTTAACATCTAACACGGAATGTAGAACATATTTTCTATTGGTTCTTAACTTAATTTGCAATACTTTTTTTTTTTTCCCAGTATAGAATGAAAGCTATGTATCCTCTGCCCCCACACACAAAAAATATGCAAATACTGACATACTCTCTTTGTGCTTATAACTTCCGGGAGCCTACAACCCTCTAAAATAGGTTAAAAGCACGCAAAAAAAAAAAAAGCATAAGACAATAAATGTTGTACTGGATAAAGGACATAGGGATAAAAATGTCATTGTTTCCCCAACTTGTTTAACTGTACAATTCATCTGAGGCTATTGCTCAAAGTGATAATTCCCAAGCCCTACACCTACACAGTGCCAAAGGCATTTGACTGCTAATCAGAGACTGACAGTTCAAACCCACCAGCCACTCTGCAGAAGGAAGATGGGGCAATCTACTTCCATAAAGATTTACCACCTTGGAAACCCCATGGGGGTCACT